GCGTTATTGTTAATATCTTTAGTTTTGAACTTCAGACTGCGGACTCCCTCATTTTGCCGTGGACTCCCTCTTTTTGTTCAAAAGTTAATTTCTACTCCTGCGAACAACGAATGCATATGTTCTGCGGTCTGAGGGTCAAAATTAAAGATATTAATGCATGTGCTTATTTTTAAGATTCCTGCAGTGGCACGTCTGCCAAATTTTCTTTGGACATTAGCTGAAAAAATATGGTAATTCCGCAAAGCTGTGCGCCGGAACGAATTAGTTAGTATGGCAGAATTTTCAGGGAGTGACACGGACTCCTGCATATGTCAAATCAGGGAGTCCGACAGTAAATCAGGGAGTATTTGACTCCGGACTCCGGTTAGTTTTGCACCCTGTAATAACAAAGAATCATCTGCATAACATGATCCTAGTCGAGAAGACGACGTTGCACCCACATACACGCTCAATGCATTTCAGATGCCAAGCCTACGACATACGTAGTTCTAATAAAGTGGCTCATTATTCATAATTCGAACAAGGTACTATAATGCACTTATTTCTAACATAATTAATGCAGGGTGTGAAATTAACGGGAGTCCGGAGTCAAACACTCCCTGATTTTCTGTCGGACTCCTTGATTCGACATATGCAGGAGTCCGTGTGACTCCCTGAAAATTCTGCTATACTAACTAGTTCGTTCCAGAGCACGACCTCGTGGAATTGCCGTATTTTTTTCAGCAAATGTCCAAAGACAATTTGGCAGACGTGCAACCGAATGAATCTTCAAAATAAGCACACGCGTTATTGTTAATATCTTTAGTTTTGAACTTCAGACTGCGGACTCCCTCATTTTGCCGTGGACTCCCTCTTTTTGTTCAAAAGTTAATTTCTACCCCTGCGAACAACGAATGCATATGTTCAACGGAAACGGTGTCAAGAAGAGAGCCTGCACGCGACGACACCTGCTAGTGAACACTGTCAATCTTTTCACTAGCCATGTGGGCACACAAAAATTATTTATTATTATAACGGATGCAAGCGAGATACAAACACATCAATATCACAGCAGCAATCTCTAGTTTAACCTCTCTGACGTTACGATAGCTAATTCTGGATGACCAAGCACATCATTATATTGCTATAATAACATTCGGATATGTGTGACAACCGACCGTGTGCACGCACGTACGCACACACAGCAACAAAACAGAATTGTGCCAAAAAACCCATTATTCTTTATTCGCATCTGTAAATGACACTACCCTGAATTTGCATATCGACACAACCCCTTTCCCTACACCAACCCCTTTCCCTCTACTTCCACACACAAACAAACCCCCTACACTACATTTCCACATGTTGCAACCCCTGCCCACGCATCTACGTGTACTAACGACCCCCTTACCCTGCGCTTGTATCCAAAGTATGCTCCGACAAACGACAGCGGCGTGGAGACTCCGAACCACATGAGTAGAAGCACGAGCAGGGTAGAGAAGGGTACTGCTGCAGAGCTTCC